TGAGAGGGAAATTGAAATTGAAAGTGAGAGAGAGAGAGAGAGTGTGTGTGAGAGAGAGAGAGAGAGAGAGTGTGAGTGTGAGAGAGTATTAATGTGAGAGAGAGATCTCTCTATTCCATTATATTACTGTGATGTTCATTTACTTATTATTATTGTTATTATATTATTATTATTTGTTTTTATCTTTTTTGTACATGTGTACTAAGCTTTGGCAATATTGTATAATTTACAGTCATGCCAATAAAGCAATTTTGAATTGAATTGAATTGAGAGAGAGAGAGAGATGATTGTATCTAATAATGCAGTGAGATATATGTTAGTGCTGCACACAGAGCTCTGATCTGATCATCATCAGTCTGTCTGGAGTCACATGAAGAAACAGAACAAACTGAGACAGACTATGTTGTGTGTGCTTCATAGAGCTGTGCAATTAATCAAAATACAGTTTCGATTTCCATCTCCAATGATTATGAAAATACAATAATCGCGATTATTAAACGATGATTGCGCCCCATTCAATTTCACAAGCAAATCAGTCAAATCATGTAACGTGACTTTAGCTAAATGTGACGTGCTTGATTTATTAAAGTTGATCAGCTTTATTCATGTTTTTAAAAGCGAAAGAGAACTTGTGCTGTGCGTCAGGAGGATTTCTGTGCATGCGCTCAGAGACGGAGTCAACTTTAGCTCAAGCTGAGCCTAAACTGTCAGATACACGCAAAAGATGTGTTAAAATGTTTTTAAAAAAGTGTTAAAAAGCAGTGCTTACTCACGTAATCCCTCATCGGTTATGTAATAAACGTAAAGAGTTGAGAATGAAAATACGCGTGCGACAGTGCATTGGATCCGTGCGGCTCTTAAAGTGACAGCAGCCTAATATTCCTGCTGCGACTGTGTGCTTAATATTAATCAAAGAAAAAAGTCACTCACTGCTCTCGACTGAAGGACTTTTGTAGCTTTAATAAGAAACCGAGCAAGTTTAATTCTTACAGTGAAGACTATGCTGTTTTATTTGACATTCGGTTATTCAATCTCTGTAGTAGCTGTGCATTAGAAAAACAACCTTAAAGCACAGTTTGTTTCATTAGCATCATATGGCCCACTCATAATAGTGCTTCACATACATTTTCTGCAGGACTTGTGCCATGGCCACTCCGCTGGTCATCTCGTCCACCGCTGAACACGGCGCCTCCACAGCGAACGTCTGGATCTGAACACAACACACAAACACTGTATGAGATGCTGAGCTTCACCTGTGTGTTTGTGTTCTATCACATGCACAGGTGGAGCTGGGGAACACACACAGGCTCCATTCACTGCTGCTCATGCAATGCCACTGTAATCTGCATTAACAGCTCTCAGCTCCTGGAGTCAGCTCTCTCTCACGTTTCCTCAACGGAAAGGGTTCTGCATTCGGGAGCTCTGGATGGCAATCAAAACACAATCCGACACAAAGCACTATTGTGCTGCGCAGATTTCATCACAGGATCAGCAGGAAGTCCCGCCCACAGGAAACAGAGCTGGAAAGCAGCTGTGGTTGAATCCCAGACGAGCACGAGGCGCTGGTCTGAGCTGTAAACCGCAGCTCTGTGAGGAATGCGAGACGTCAGCGTGTGTTCGGGTGCGAGGCGCTTCACATCTGGAGCAGGAACACAACCCTTCAGAGACTCACACCAATCCATTTCACTTCTGCTTCCTCTGCAAAGCATTGACATTCTCTGCTGAAACGCGACGGAACTCAGGTTAAAAAAAAAGTACATTTATATAATGTACTTAAAGTGCTCTATTTTTGCACACTAATTTTGTGCTTCATCTACTAAAAATTAATCTTTAGTACTCCTTAAGATCATCTAAGTGTACTCAACTGTGCTATTTTGGGACACCATGAATATGAACTAAAATGCACGTTTAACACACTATCTCTGTATTTAAAAAATGTATTTAGTCACCACTTGTAGTACACTTGAACCATCTTTCATACACTCAAGTGTACTACAAGTGGTGACCAAATACATTTTTAAATACAGAGATAGTGTGTTAAAAGCACATTTGTGACCCTGGAGCACAAAACCAGTCATAAGGGTACATTTTGTGAAATTGAGATTTGTACATCATCTGAAAGCTGAATAAATAATCTTTCCAGTGATGTATGGTTTGTTAGGATCGGACAATATTTGAAAATCTGGAATCTGAGGATGCAAAAAAATCTAAATATTGAGAAAATCATCTTTAAAGTTGTGCAAATGAAGTTCTTAGCAATGCATATTACTAATCAAACATTAAGTTTTGATATATTTACGGTAGGAGATTTACAAAATATCTTCATGGAACATGATCTTTACTTAATATCCTAATGATTTTTGGCATAAAAGAGAAATGTATAATTGTGACCCATACAATATATTGTTGGCTATTGCTACAAATATCCCCCAGCGACTCAACACTGCTTCTGTGCTGCAGGAGACATTTTAGTTCATATTCTTGGTGTCCCAAAATATCACCGTTGAGCACACTTAGATGTTCTGAAGTTACAAGCACAAAATATGAAGTACAACATTAGTGCGTGAACACAGAGCACTTTAAGTACATTATGGAAGTGAGTGCTGACATTATGAGTTTGCCTTCATCACATCAGACAGTTATTACATCCGTAAGAAAGCTTATGAAAACACACTTTTATTTATATACCATAAGGTTGTGCGCTGGTGAACTGAACTGAATTCAGCAGTAAATCACAGCGCTGCTCCTCTTTTGTCCAGACAAGCCCCGCCTGCAGCGTTTAACCACAGCAGTGTCACTAAACACCGGTCACAATCACAGCTCTGACACGCAAGAAGCTCAAAAATCTGATTGTTTTGAATAATGCATTCAACTTAGACAAATATTATTATTAAAAATAACATAAACAGAAGTACAAATAAAGCCTAAAAACAGTACTGACGATTCTCTAATCATCTGACACAAACTAAACTCCATCACACTGAATTAAAGCTCATCTGATCTCCACTTCTGCTCAGGTGCGTCTCTCGTCTGTAACCTCACAGGTGACCAATAACGTCTCCGCACGATCACATGTTCAGATTAACACCATCAGCACTGATAGAAGCCCTGATCGACTAACGAACTGAACCCGATCCACACACACACACATCACACACACTCACTCACACACACACTCACACACACAAACACACTCACTCACACACACACACTCTCACACACTCACTCTCACACACTCACTCTCACACACTCACTCTCACACACTCACTCTCACACACTCACTCTCACACTCACACTCTCACACTCTCACACTCACACACACACACACACACAATCACTCTCCCACACACACACACACACACACACAAACAAACTCACTCACACACTCACACACACAAACACACTCACTCTCACACACACAAACACACTCACTCTCACACACTCACTCTCACACACTCACTCACTCTCACACACTCACTCTCACACTCACACTCTCACACTCACACACACACTCTCACAAACACTCTCTCTCTCACACACACACACACAC